GCGGAGAGCCTCCGACTGAACGAAGGGCATCATATGAGCATCTCAACACAGAAACTCGGTCAAATTCCTTCGGCAAGCTTTGTGGTTTGCCAGCGGTTCTTGTGTCAGGCAGCCATGGTCAATGGTTGAAAGTTGGAAGGGTTAGCCCTTCTATCTCGCGTTGCTTTGCAGTAGCCCGCAGCTGTCAAGGTACAAGCATTACATGATAGCTCAAGTGAAAGATTGTGAGCGCAGCGGCGGACTATCAGTGATGGACAGCATTACTGGCGCAGGAGGCCTTGCATGCTTATACAGCTCCGGGCTCAGTACATCCTTCTCACCTCTTGTCGAAGCCCAGGTTGAATGAAAGATCATGGAAGCGCCAGATGCTTGTAACGAAATGTCTTGCTTTTGGCATGACCTGTCTCCGGGCAAGGTGCTGTGGGCTGGCCGCTGCAATTCTTGGTGCTATCCGTTTCGAAGCATCTAAGTCGCAGAAAGAAGCTGCACAGTCTGAAGTGCCAAATCTGCAAGTCGGACGGTGGCCATCTCACCAGGCTGTGGCTGCTGACCTGGCTTGTGAAGCAACGAGTTGACGACGAAACCCTCACAGACGCATACGCGCAGGTAGGGCTTCAAAGGGAAGCCTTGTTTTTAGTTTTTGTTTCGTTTCCTGCGTTTCTGCTTGTTGCTTCTTGGTTTCTGCTTTTGGCTTCTGGCTTTTTGCCTTCTGCTTTTGTTTTCTGCTTGTTGCTTTCTGGCTGTTGCGTCTTGTTTCTTGCTAGCTACTTTTTGCTTTCTCTCTCTTGCTTTTTTTGGTTTTTACTTTTTGCTGTCAGCTTTTTGCTTCCTGTTTCTGGCTGCCAGCGATCTCCTGAATCCTCGTTGCTCTCTGTTCTAGCTTCCTGGTTCTCGTTGACTGCGCTCAGCTTCCCAATCGCTGCTATTTGTTGTTTTCTGCTTCTTGCTTCTTTCTTTTCTGCTTAGTACTTGCCATTTTTCCATCATGTGTCACAATTCTTCATTGTTAGAATTTTATATTTTCCAGCCTCTGTCAGCCGTTGTGCTATCTTGTATCAGTTTCAATATCTTTCATGACTATTCATCAATTTCACATTTTGTCAGAATTCTCCATCCTTCCTCATATTTTTCCATGCTCTTCATGGGTTTCATAGTCTTTCAGTAGTTTCCATCACCTTTCATCGCTTTTATCCTTGTTGTTTGCAAGGTTGGGGGGGGGGCGAGCCACCCCCCCCCTCAATCCCCACGCCTTTCTGAAGGCCATCCATGCTTGCTGTCACAAAGAAGCATCACGTCATCAGCATGTTTGCAATGAGGAATGCTTATACAGATCATGTTGTTTACGCATGGGAGGGGCTGCCCCCCGCCCCCACCCCCTTTTTTAACGCCATCCATCCACGCTTGATTTTAAAAAGAAGCGTCGTGTCATGATCGTGAGGGATGGCTACGCAGATCATTTTGTTTGGAAATGGGGGTTGGGCTGCGACCCTCCAAACCCCCGCCCTTTTTTTCAAGGCCGTCCATGCTTGACCACTGTTCGTCATTCTAGACAGTTTCTTCATCATTTTCCGCGATTTTCATCACTATTCTTCATTGTTGATGTTTTTGATATCTTTCACAATTCTTCACCATATACATAATGATGCATGATTTCCTATCATGTTGCAGCAGTTTCCATGATTGCCATACTTGTCATGTTTTTCATTATGTTCATGATTTGTCATCATTCTTCGTCATTCTTTCGCTATTTGCATGATGATTCATCATGTTTCAAATTTTCATGTTTTTCACGCACGATTTTCATTATTTTTCAATTTCATGACGTTTCATTTTTTTCATATTCTCACATATTTTCCTAATTTTTCATCATTTTCATGATTGTCGATTATTTTTCATCATTTTTGAACGTAAAATCGAGCTCTCGGCTGAGACATTCTAAGACAGAAGAGAAGACTAAAAAATCACCCCCCCCCCCTTTCCCCCCTAACTCCAAATCAAATCAATTTTGCGTCCGCTTCAAAGGGGTTTCATGATGCTCAAGACATGGTAACGTCACTTTGTTCGACATTGGTTTTTAGTATGATGAGCAGACAAGAAATAATGCAGGTGGTCATCGCCATGTGGGAAATGATGATGTCTGTCGGGCCAGAGAATGAGTTCATGTGGGACGAGCTGCATGATGCCGGTGTAGCACACCTTGCTTTTATGGAATCTTGTCTGTATGAGGTAAATTGGAAGTGAGTTCTAATAGTTGGTTTCCCTTTCTTTCGTACCAATGTACCCCCTAAATGAAAGGACGCTGATTGCAGTCTCCTTTGCGAGAGAATGCCACACGTGGCATGTATGTTCCGGGGGAGCCAGAAGTGGCTTTCAGGGCAGAGATCATGCAGAATCAGCGAATCAGCTCATTACATGTCGACATTTGTGCTGCACGTGACGATGGGAAAGCTTGCAGCACATGATTGACTCAGGTGTTGGTGGAGGCAGGGCCTGGGAAGTCAGCCATGCATTGACCCCCCCCAACTTTGTGGAAGACCCAGCCAAAAGCTTGGCATCTCCAACTTTGAACTTCAAAGCACAGTGCTAGGCAGGTTGTCTCGCCATGCCGGGCCTTTGCAGCACGGAATGCAACCTGGTCGCATGCTGCACTAAGTTGGGTGCAAAGAATGGTAGCGTGGAGTCCTCTAGCCGAACCTGAGACGAGCATAGCTGAGCTCCCGGCAATTGGATTAGATTTGCTGCTGCTGTCAGCAGTTGTACGCGCTAGCATGCTTGCCAGCATGCAGCACTCTAGGTTTTTGTATGAAGGCCCGTGTTTCCAAAGATGTCAAAATTAAATGCAGCCTGCACCGTACGTTTTGATGTAAATGCAGTGCTGTGAATGAAGCCGCTAGGCTTCCTCGCCTGCCAGAAGACATTGTTGAGTTGCTAAGGGCAGTCTTTTTCCCTTTGGTTAGCATTCATCATGTTGCGAACACGATTAGCATTGTCCCTCATTTTTCAAAATTCCTTCACAAAGGCCCCAGGCATCTCCAAGCTCCAGGAATCAGGCTGTAGCACCCGCAAAGTAATTAGCCAAGCAAACACAGCCAGAAGATGATTTTTGTAATGGTCCAAACAGGACGAATTCCACAAGCTGTATTGACGAAGGGATACGCCAATGAGTTGCATGTGTGCTAGTTGTACTGTCTAGGTGCTCTGGTTGCCCCCACAAAAAAGTTATAATGCAACAGGGACGAAGTACATCTGATCTCAATTTGCAGCTGAAGGCGACTGATCACATCCTATCACTAATTGCAAGCCTGAAGAGTAGGCCAGCTCTTTGGGGAAAGTAGTGGACGACAGCTTGATAAAGAAAGGTCAGAACGCAACGCCTTGTAAGGTGAACGTGCTTGTAATCAAGGTACTTAAACGATGAACCAAGCGACTCCCAACAACCAGAGTGCTACTAATCGTACAAGGTAGTCCAGACCTGAACCGGAGCAGAGCATTGGTCATAATACTGGCGAGTATTTTGAACTAGTATGCCTGCCCCAGCCGCGTGTGCACAAGCAAAGGTACAATTCCCGCAAGCAATCTACTGAAACAGTGACAGTGCCAGTAGTAGTGCCAGATGTACCGGGACATGTAACAAAAATACAATGTGATACACATAAACTGTACCCGTATTAGAAATCCATATACTTACTTCGTCGCGGAACAGACTAGGAATGAATACGCTGAAGCTGCAAAAACAAGTGATGATATTAGCAGTCAGCATACCACAGGGATAACAGTAGCTGCTAACAAGCGACTGGTTGCAGCCAGTCGCGCTTTCAATTTTCTGACATGAATGTGCTGAACACGGTCACCATTGCTTGGGTTGTAAACGTCATGCTCTGGTCATCGTTTCATGTAATGTTTACTTTCCGATTGCAAGCCTCTTATGGGTCCGCATTGCAGGGGTTTGTTTGTCGGTCCGGTGCAGTTCTGGTTGCAGCAGCTCTCTGGTCTTGCCGTGCAGCAGAGGCACTGACGACATTTTGGCCGAACCGATTGCCGAACGATATGTTGCAGGCGCATGGTCTGGCCTTAATGGCCTTACGCACTTGTTTTCTGTTGGGCCACTCGTGCAAGTGAGCAGCTCGTGGCCTGGTGCGTGTATTGTGCACTGGGTGCTAATAAACCAAAGCTTCCTCCTGAAACTTGCACAAAAGCTTCGTATCAAGCTCAGCTGCAGCAGGCCCTATGCCGCCATGTGCCAATCTGCGCGATTGCTGGAAGATGGTTGCTGAAGCCGGCTTGAATGATGTGCTGACGACGCCTGGCTGCAGAGGACATTCGACAGCAGCGAGGCCAATCGTGCCGGCAACTGAGGCGCCCTGACATCTATGCGCGGCTCTAAGATTCAGGGACCACATGGCTGACTGCGCTGAGGTTTTTGGATGTTGTTTTAAAACTTGTGCTTATTTCTTTGAGAGAGGTTCCGGTGTTCCGCTGGGCCCAGCGGCTAACCGCGCCGCCCTGCTTCCCATCTGGCTGGCATTTGGAGCTTGATCGCTCCTTGGGGTTCCCCACCATCAACTCTGGCGGCCACAACGTGCCCTGGAACTTGCCTTGATAGGTTTTCCTTTCTCGTTTGCAGCCACTGCTTGGCCTGGGTAAGCACTGAAAAGCGCCGCAGCTTCTTTCACTGCTAGATTCGGCAAATCGTGTTGGGCCTTGGTTTCCGTTGCTGAGACTTCATTCAGTTTGAGATTAGGACAGTCAACAAAATCACAAAATTATGAAGTTATGAAAACCTGTGACAAGAGAGCGGTGAGGTGAAGTGTAGCTCAGCTTGGCATGCTCTGCGTCATGGACGCTGCAGAACAGGTGTAGCAAAAGGACCACCCACTCCTGGAAGCATTCTGGAATCCTAAAGTCCTACAGTTAGACCGCCAAACTGATGCTGAAAGGTGTTGCATACTCAGGTCACCGTTATTGCAGTGGATCTCTCTCGTTGTGAACTGGAGATCTCAATGATAGCGTGGGACCTGGATGCTGCTGGAATGCTTGCACTTCACAGGCAGATTTGGGAGCAATCGCGCAGTAGGCCAAACATTGACACAGCCGACTTTCGGATACCGACCACGGGGCATTTTTGGGATTTTGACTGTCGGTTCGAGTCGCAATCTGGGAGCGTGCGGACACGCGGAGATGTTGTGAGCTACTCCTTCCTCATCGAAGTTGCGGGCACTTTCGAGGCTCCGCTCTTGATGGTGCGCTGCCAAGCCCCAGAGACAAGGCCTTCGCATGTCCCGTCCTCAGTCACCCTCACGCGATCAGTGCGTGCACCATTCCAGATGCCCTCCATCCATCTCAAGGCGAGGTTTCCCTGTTGACAGCACCTTGAGCATGCTTTCTTCGTGTAACCTATATGAAAGTACAGGCTATAGGGCAGAATGGGTATACCGTGCCGCTGAAGGTGCCGCTGCAGGAGGACCGACGGAAGCGAGTGAGCACAGCCCTGTGCAATTCACAGGTCTGGGGGTTCGAGTGGCTGAACGAGAAGGCACCAGGCCTGGTGGAGTT